TACTCAGCCATTAAAAAGAATTCATTTGAATCAGTTCTAATGAGATGGATGAAACTGGAGCCCATTATACAGAGCGAAGTAAGCCAGAAAGATAAAGACCATTACAGTATACTAACACATATATATGGAATTTAGAAAGATGGTAACGATAACCCTATATGCAAAACAGAAAAAGAGACTCAGATGTATAGAACTGACTTGTGGACTCTGGGAGAAAGCGATGGTGGGATGTTTCAAGAGAACCATCGAAACATGTATATTATCTAGGGTGAAACAGATCACCAGCCCAGGTTGGGTGTATGGAAAGATTTATAAACGGTCACATGCCTTAGCAGAAATGAAACGCTCGTCTTTCCCAATAGAAACCTGCAAGCACCTTTAAGTGGAAGCGCTAAGCAGAGCTCTTTTTTCTTCTTCTTTTTTTTTGGTTTCAACTACATGCTAGGGCATTGAGTGGATAAATGCAGGAACATGGATTGTATGGAGGAGCCATCTTACCCATGCCAACAGCTTTCTCCCAGTTAATCCAATGATCTAAGATGCTGGGGGCTGAGAAGGCTTTTGCACAGAGAGACTCGTGACAAACTCATGTTATGTAGTAGTTAACCCATCATGGACCCGTATGAAGCACTTGAAAATCAAAGACTTCACCTGATGATGCTTTGGTCAAGAGGAGGGAAGGCTCCTTCTCAGCTATCACCCATTTCGTACCAAGCTTTCCCACTTCCAGAGCCTGAGAAAGAGGAGCTAAGCACAGCTCTTTCTTCTCCTTTTTTTTTTTTTTTTGGTTTCAACTACATGCTAGGGCATTGAGTGGATAATTGCAGGAACATGGATTGTATGGAGGAGCCATCTTCCCCATGCCATCAACTTTCTCCCAATTAACCAAATGATCTATGATGCTGGGGGCTGAGAAGGCTTTTTCACAGAGAGACTCGTGACACACTCATGTTATGTAGTAGTTACCCATTATGGACCCATATGAAGCACTTGAAAATCAAAGACTTCACCTGCTGATACTTTAGTCAAGAGGAGGGAAGACTCCTTCTCAGCTATCACCCATTTCATACCAAGCATTCCCACTTCCAGAGCCTGAGAATTCCTGGCACTGGCTCCATGCCCAGTCTGCAAACATCCATACTGCAGAAGGCTGCCCTCCGAGGCTTAGGCACCAGGGATCGGACTCTCAAGACATTCAGGACCGAAGGTGCCTGGGGCTCCCAACACCACCTTCTGTGCTAATTCCACCTGAGGAATCCTGGGCCATGAAAACTGTGGGGGCCAATCAGTCGATTTCATCTTAAACCACAGGGCAACTTTCTCTCTGTGTTTACTGAAGTCCCTGGCCAACTCTCCTCAATCCGCTTCCATAATGGAACTGTCTGGATGAGCCAAACATTATTCTTTCAGCTGTGCTCTAAACTACAATATCTACTATCAAGGAAGATATTTCTTCTGTGTTAAAACAGAGTTTGAACTTGAATGTGACAATCCCCGTTTCAGAGAGATCATCTCGCATAGGTACCGTGAGTAAAGATGGCCCATCTATTCTGAAGATCACAGATTTGCATGTGAGCCATGTGCAAGTCATCTTCTTCACTCACAGTGCCTCAGCAGTTCTTGAGGAAATGTTCCTTATCCTTCAGGGCACAAAGTTAAGTGAGTCTGAACCCTCATCCTCACCGCAGCAAAAAGAGGCCCACAGAGCCACTGAGGGGTGCCTTCCAGCTATGAAGAGGCCTGGGGTTTCTTGTCACTCAACCGTAAACCACCCAGAGGTGTGGAAGCCTGGGCAGAATCTGTGCAGGCTTTGAAAGCTCCTTGTTTAATCCATCACTATCCGTTTGGAAAACTGAGGCCCAAGTAGGAGTGGGATAAACCAAGGCTCGGGACAGGGGCAGAGTCTCAGGCCATCCTCAGCTAGGGCTGCACCACACACACCAGGTTGGCTTCGGGAATAAGAGAGCCAGAAATCCAGAACATCCTCACTCACTTTTATTAGATGTCTCTGGGTGTCCACACAAATATACACAACACTCACACTAAGATCAGAAGAGGTGACAGTAGGGCATTGGGATCAAGGGAGGAGTGGACCTGGGGTGGCGACAAATGAAAAAGAAGCCAGCTGATGATCACAGACTGGATCTCACGCTGTCTCTGGTGCAGGAAAGGACTATGCCTCATCCAGAGGCCTCTGTCGTTGTCTCCCAGGGGTTTGAGGCTATGGACTCACCTGAGACATGAGCTGTTTCATTGAGTGGCAGGCCACAGGGGCCTCCTCAGAGGCTTCTTCCCCAGAATGAGGGCCCAGGTGGGGGGAATGTGTGGCGGTAAGGACACTGCAACAATAATGAAGAATTGGAAATGGAAACACTAATGCAACACTTCTACCACAGTTCCTCAAAAAGGCAACTAGACACTATTCAGTAGATGCCCACATTCCGCTCCTACATCACCCTGAAAGAAGTAAACACAGAAAGTCACAAGCCTGTACACAGCTGTTCAGAGCAGCACTATGCACAAGAGCCCGCAGGTGAAAATAATCCTATTGTCCATCAACAGCTGAGGAGAGAGTCGAGTGCAGTGCCGTCCCAGCCTGCAGGATTATTTGGCATCAAATAGGATGCAGATGCTCTGCAACAGACAACAGACAGGTCATCCTAGTGAATGTTCTCCATGCCACTCACACATACAATTTAAAAACTCATAGAATTCAGTTTCTAAGTTCACTTTGTCTCACAGAAAAAATAAGTTTGTACATGTAATCAAAAATCAAAACACATATTAAGAGAGGGAAGATTCGGGGTGGAGACACAGGCTCAAGGCTGGCGCTGGCACAGGGGCAGCACAGCATCTGCCTGGGAAGGCGAGGCTGGCTGATCAAGTGGGAGCTGCTTCAGGGATGTTAGGGGAGGAACTGGCTCCAGTGCCTGAGCTGCTAGAAAAGCTGTGTCTGCTGGGGTCTCTAGAAGCACAGCTGGATAACACCAGAGCCACAGCTGACTGCAAAGCACCAAGGAGCTCCAGAGCCGAGGCAGTGCCCTGGCCGAGGTTGGCTTAAGTCTGCGGACTGAGGCTGTAGAAGCAGCGCTGGCACAGGATTTCCGGGCGATTCAGGCTCTGAAGGAGGAAGAGAGCTGTTTCTTGCACGTTCTCTGATCTAGAAGTGAAGCCTGGAGGTACTTTTCCTCACTTCCAAGCCTAAGGGAGAGTCACGGCATGAGCACACCGCCTCTCCGGGTTTGGAGCCGGCATGTTTATTTGATGCAGTCCTTGAACTTGAATGCGAGCTGGGCTTTGAGCTTGCTCTGACTGTGAAGCTGTTGCAGGCAGTAGGAGTGCTGTTGGCTCTAGATCTGGGGAAGTTTCCAGGGCTTCTCCAGTGGATGCTGTTTCTCCCAGAATAGAAAACACTGTCAGTAACACTGCTTGTCCTTGGATCCCAAAGACAGGATGCTACTCACTTCTTAGCCCTGAAATCTCAATCCAAGATGCCACCTCCCCCAGGAAGTCCTCCCAGGCTGCAGTCCAGGGGAATAGTGAGCTGAGCCTCCTCAATGCACCTGGTCTAGATCTAGCCTCAGGAGGCGCTGCTCTGTGTGGCTCAGCCCCCTCCCTTCCTATTTCGCCCCAATCCTCCTCACTAACTGCGAGTCCTCCTCACCATTCCCGTCTGCCTCAGAGGGCTCCAGGGTCTCTAGATGCGCCAGGAGATGGCGGGCTCACTGCTCCATGTCCGAGTAGGGCATGCTGAGCTCTACGTACACGAGGAGCATCTTCAGGCAGGGACAATCTGGTGGCTGCAGGAAGTCCACAGGGTAAAATTCTAGCCAGGTGCCCAGGATGGAGGGCATGGCCCTGGGGGCGTCACATGGGCAGCAGAGGTAGAGACCTCGCCTTCCCGCCACACTGCACTCCGGGGCCACCCTGCGGGGACATGGGCCTCTGCGCCTTCTGCCCCTGCCCATCCAGAGGTCAGTTCTCCTCCTCACTCCTTCTCACCTGGCTGACCAGGCAGAGGAGGCCTGGACACAGGGGAGGGGCCACCAACGAGCCTGCTCAAGTGACAGCCCTTGATCCACGGTGTGACCATCTGTCCACTTCCTGAGGGCAGCCTGACACGGTGCACTGATCCCCCCCCATGTCCCGCCCCCTGGTGTCACCACTGCGAGGGCAAGCCGGGCGTCTACTCTGGTCACTGCATCTCAGGAACATGAAGCGGTACCAGGAGTATCTGGCCCAGGAGGGAACACACAGACTCTGTCACCTGCCCAGGCTTCCTGCGGGCCTCCTAACACCTCAGAGTGACCTCCTACATCTAAAGGCTGCCTCATCCCCTAGGGAGGCACCTTCATCTCCTCCTGCCACTGACACTCATCCTGTACCAGTGAGGGCTCAGCTGTCCCCTGAGTGTCAGTAGGTCCCCTGAGCACCAGCTGAGCAACCCCAGCTGAGGTTCCACCAGATAGGGAGCAGGATGCTCTCTACGCTTTGTGTTCTGGGTCCCAGGATCGGGGCTCGAGGCACGACTGGGATTGACAGGGGACGGGTGTGGACTCTCATGGGGTGGACTCTGACCTCTGACCTACCAGATGCTCCTCAGAGGACCCCAGACCCCTCCACAGCTCTCTTGGCCTCCTTTCCACTTTTCCAGGAGAAGTCCCCCAGACCTTGGCCCCCAGTAATATCCAGACTATGTGAGACCCAGGATTCTGCTAGCCCTGCCCATCCAGCAACCCCATTACTCCTGGCAGTTCTCTGGGGAAGGCAGGCTCTCCCTCTTGAATCACAATCCACTCACATTTTCAGCTGGTACAGGGGTCCACCATCCTCATTGCAGTAAGGGAGGATGCATCCGTACCTACAGGAGGCCAGGAACATGTAACATGGACAGTACTGGAGACACGCCCGAATGTGATGGCTGGTGCGATAGGCTTCCCCCTCTCCCTCAGCCCCTCACCCCGAGAGAATGGAAGCCCTGTGTTCAGGACTGCTCTCTGCTCGATGCATTACATGATGCTTGTTCCTAGTAAAGTGCCTGCACCTTGTGCACCTTCTTCTATATTTCAAGAATGAAAGAGCCCAGCGAGCCCCTTCCGAGTGCCTGGGGCACCAGTGATCACTCCGAGGGGCCCCTGCTCTCACTCTCCCAGGATAGGGCACCTCTCACACCTCACCTTGCTATTGGGAAAATGCTTTGGGCCAAAGTCAAAGACAGAGAGTCAACCGAGACAGAGGCTTGCTCGAGGTGAGGAAGAACATGATGACTCAGCACAACCCCAGCCTCTCCAGGGGACCAGGTTCCCGAGAGAACTTTCCGGGACGCACCCACTCAGTGCCCACAGTCACGCTGGGGGCTGCTCCTCCGTGTCCCCTCATGTGCAGAAGGGGCCAGCTGGGGCTCAGAGAGTTGGACAGACATTCCCACGACTCACAGCTGGAAGCTGCCCGGGTCCCCCTGAGTCCCCAATTCGGGAGGGGAAGTGCTCACCTCATGAAGAGAAGGTCCAGCAGCTGCTGGCGGTTACCAAAAGCCCTTTAGGTGCCCCAAAATGTGGGGAGGTAAGAGGGGTCAGGGCCCAGGAAGGCAGGCACCAGGTTGCCCACCAACGTCTCCAGTCTGCGTCTCTGGACGCTCCACAGCCTGCAGGTCTCTTTCCTGTTCCCTGCGGACACACTTTCCCCCTGGGGTAGAACACAGCAGAGACACGAGTCAGAGGGGGCACCAAAGACTCCTGGAAGGCAGGGGCTGGGCTCAGACTGAGTCCCCAAGCATCCAGGAGGAGGGGCAGGGGGAGGGGCAGGAGCGCCCACCGCAGGATAAACGTCCTGTCATCACGAGTGAACTGGTCCTGGGCCATGGTTACATATGTTGGCGTCTCGGGGCAGTTTGTATTGGGCAGCTCCCCGTGTGTTAACTACATCATCCCTGTGGTGGTGTCCAAAACTTCCCATTCTGTGGATGAGAACTGGGGTGAGAGGGGCTTATCCTGGGGTGAGAGACATCAGGATTCTCAGGCCCACCTGGATACCTGGGGATGGAGTTAGTACAGGATAAACTGTAGAAAAATGCAGACAGGCTCCTTGGGGACATTAAGTGAAATCCTATCACAATCTCCTTCTGAGATTCCCACATGTAAGTGAATAGTGATTTTGCATCTGGACAAGTCAGGGCCTGGGCCAAAAGGGCGCTTCACAGAGCTGACGGTGTCAGGTTCCTCTGGGAGCAGGGGCGGAACCAGGGGCGGGCCAGGGTGGCTCTGGGATCCAGAACATCCTGGTTGTCAGGTCTCCTCCCACCTGGCACTCACCATGTGCCCTCCCTGAGCTCTGTCGCTGGTGTGGGGCTCCTGCCCCTCGTGAAGGGATGTGGAGCAGGGGGTTCAGAGGACCGGCTCCTGTCTGCAGTCCCGTGAGGAGCCCTGTGAACAAGTTGCCAGCAGCAGGGTAGAGAGTCTCAGGCCACCGGCCAGCTGCCTGTGGTGTTTCTCGGACCCCAGACAGCTCCCCTCCAGACACACGCTCACCACTTTCTGCACAGACCTCCACCGAGGATGCAGACACGCGACCACCTGCCAGCCTTGGATCCACACTGGCACAGAACAGAATACTTCAGGGATCCTGCTTCCCCACTGACAGCCCGTCCTCAGGTGTGACCGTGACAGGACCCCCAGGTCACCACGTGCCCACCAACCCGCTCCTGCCCAGAGGGAGAAACTCCCCTCAAGTCCCACTTCCCCGCACATGGAGATGAGGGCAGCTGGCGCTGCCCAGGGAGGCCTCCCAGTGGCGGCCAGGCCTGGTGTGGCCAGCTCTAGGTTGACTGGGATTACCTTAGGTGACCTCCTGGTAAAGGACCAGAGGAATCCAGGTTGAGCACTGAACCGCCTGAAACATCTGAAAAACGTCTCCCTCCAGGGTTTCCTGAAGCAGAAGCCCTGGCCAGTCGAGACACAGCTGGAGAACATCCTTCTGGATGAAGACTTTCCAGCCGAGTGAGCCCCAACTGGCTGTGGCGCTGTTGCCAGAAGGTGGGTGCCTGGTTACAGGGTTCCGAGTTCTGTTAGGGTCTGCCATCGAGGAAGTGACTTCAGCACCCGGGGGCCCCTTCCTTGGATTGGCAGTTGACAGCCCTGCACATAGCCCTCGGGATCCTGACCGCTCATCCCACATCCACGCAGCCCTGGGCCTCACACAGTTGCACCACACAGGCCTCCACACAGCTCCCAGGCAGGCTGTGTGTGCAGCTCTCAAGAGACAGACCTGGGTCCAGACTCACCTCCCGTTTCCTACCTGTTCTCCATCCTGGATGAGTCCCTGTCTCTCAAAGCCTGTCGGTGTCCCCACCTGCACACCGGGAATGATGCCAGCATGGACTTCTAGGGATGTCCTCAGACATAGGTGGGACAAGACTTAGAAAATATCGGAGCCCATGTCCCAGGCAGGCAGTGCCTCCAACCCCTGTATATTATTATTAACTTCCTCATAACTGTCCCTCTTCTTATCCCAGCCCACAGTCCTTATTAAATGTCAATGTGAGTGTGCATATGTGAGTGTATCCAAGTGCTCACCCTGGCAGGTCAGAAGAAAACTGCCCCTGTAAGGAGGAATAGGCAACAGCTTCCTAAGATCTCAGGGTTTCTAATTTCCAATGCAAACCTAATGAGACAGGTCTCAGCTTTGGCCAAGGACATCGAGACACTGTGATACAAGGCATTAAAGCTGTCAGGAGATGGAGCTGCGATGACAGGCTCAACATCGTCTGGCCCAATGTCCACACACATGACCACAGTACAAGATATGATGACACAGCTGCCTTCAAAGGGCTCACAGCCCAGCAGGCTCAGCATCTCAGGCTGGACCCACAGAGGCCCAGGGACAAACTGGTGCTCACAGCCTGTCGTCTGCCACACAGACTTGACCATCCCATGTGTTGTGGCCTTTATGTTTCTGTCCTTAAATCACTCTGTCATTTCTGAGATTGCACACAAGCACACCATTTCAGACACTTTTGCTGACGATGATGGCTACTCCATTTCTTCTAAGGGATTCTTTCCCACAGTAGTAGATGTCATGGTCATTTGAGTTAAATTCACCCATTCCAGTCCATTTTAGTTCACTGATCCCTTAAATGTCAATGTCCAATCTTGCCATCTCCTGTTTGACCACTTTCAATTTACCTTGATTCATGGACCTAACATCCCAGGTTCCTATGCAATACTGTCCTTTATCTCATCAGACACTCCCATCACCAGTCACATCCAGAACTGGGCATTATTTTTGCGTTCACGCCATCTGTTCATTCTTTATGGGGTTATTTCTCCAGTAGCATATTGAGCACCTAATGACCTTGGGAGTTCATCTTTCAGTATCATATCTTTTTCCTTTTCATACTGCTCATGGGATTCTCAAGGCAAGAATACTGAAGTGCTTTGCCATTCCCTTCACCAACAAACAAGCCCAAAATATAAAAGGTAGGTATGGACAGTGTCTGCAATAAATGATGTTGGGAAAACTGGACACTTACGTGAAAAACAACCAAACTGGACCACTATCTTGTAATATGCAGGGAACTGAACTCAAAATGCATTAAGCCTTGAGTAGACGACCTGAAACCACAAAACTAGAAAAAACAGTTAGAAACCTCTTTAACAGCTGTCTCAGAAATGATTTTTGGATCTGATTCTAAACGCCAAAAAAAAAGCAAAGGTAACAACTGGAATTATAGCAGAGGTCAACAAAATAAAACAGAGAGAAATGAAATGAAATAGGAGAAAACATTTGCAATTCATACATTTTGAAAGGGGATAGTATCTAAAGTATATAAAGAATTCATACAACTGAATACCAATAAAAAAAAACTTTATTTAAAAAAGGGCCAAATGTCTCAATAGACATTTTTTCCAAAGAAGACATACAGATGGCAAACAGGCACAGGAAAAGATGTTTTACATCTGTAATCATCAAAAAAATGCAAGTCTACAGCACAAAAAGTTACTCTTTCACATCTACCAAAATAGCCATCATGAAAAAGAACACAAATAAATGTTGGCAAGGATGTGGAGAAAAAGAAATACTTGAACACCGTTGGTTGGAATGTAAATTGGTGTAGCCAGTATGGAAAACACTATGAAGGCTCTTCAAAAAATAAGACTACCTCATGATCCAGCAATCCCACTCCTGTACACATGTTGGGAGAAACTGTAAACTCAAAAGATAATGCAATACTAGTTATGATGCCTAAGATGTGGAAGCAACCTAAATGTCCACTGTCAAATGGATAAACAAGATGTGGTGTATATACACAATGTAATACTGAGCCATAAAAAGAATGAAATGCTGCCATTTGCAGCAACTTGGATGGACCTGCAGATGATCATAGAAGTGAAGTCAGGTGACAGAGAAAGACAAATATCTTATGATACTGCTAATATGTAGACTCTAAAAAAGTGATACACATGAACTTATTCAGAAAATAGAAACTGATACACAAATTTTAAAAGCAAACTTATGATTACCAAATAGGACAAGTGAAAAGAAGGATAAATTAGGAGGTTGAGATTAATACACAGACGCTACTATATGTAAAATAATCAACAAGGACCTACTGTATAGCACAGGGAACTCTCCACAATATTCTGTAGTAACTTTTAATGGAAAAGAATATGAAAAAGAATAGATCTATGAATATATATAACTCAATCACTTTTTTGTATACCTGAAAATATTACCGCATTGTAAATCAACTATTCTCCAGTATAAAATAAAAATTAAATTATAAAAGAACTCATACAACTTAATAGCAAACAAAATAAATCTCGTTTTTCAAAGGGCAAAAATCTAAATAGACATTCTTTCAAAGAAGATATACAAATGATCAACAGGCATATGAAAAGATGCTCAACATTCTAAATCACTAGAAATATGCAAATCCAAAGTGCAGTGCAATATCACTGACCACATGCTATCATCAAAAAGATCAGAAATAACATGCTGGGGAGTATGTGGAGAAAAAGGAACATTTAGACGCTGCTGGTGGGAAGGTAGAATGGTAGAGAAGTATACAAAACAGTATGGAGGGTCTTCAAAAATCAAAAACTAAAATTACCTCGTGATCCAGCAGTTTCACTCCTAGGTATACATATCTTAAACAAATAAAAACACTAATTCAAAAATACACATGGACCCCAATATTTGTAGCACATTATTTACAATAGCCAAGATATGAAGGCAATCTAAATGCCCAGCAGCATATGAGTTGAATAAAATAAATTACACACACACACACACACACACACACAATGGAATACCACTCACATACAGGTAAGAGTGAAAATTTGCCATTTGTAAAACATGGATGGATTGGGAGAATATTATGATTAGTGAAATAAATCAGAAAAATACAAATACTTACTGTATGTTATCATTTATTTCTGGACTCTAGAAAAGAAAACAGTAAATCCCTGGTGATCTAGTGGTTAGGACTGCACACATGCACTGCAGGGGGCCTGGCTTTGCTCCCTGCTTGGGGAACTAGAATCCTGCAAGCTATGTGGCAGGGACTGAATAAAGAAATAAATAACAATAAAAACTGAAACACTATGTAATCAAACAGAAACATACTCACAGATATAAGGAACAAACACGTAGTTGGTAGTGGTGAGGAGTAGAGAGACAAGATGGGTTAAAGAATTAAGAGACACAAACTTCTATGTATAAAATAAATAAGCTCTGTGTTGTCAGGAGTTTTCACATGTATGTTTTAAACTTAAACAAGGCACAGTTCTAAAAATGGGGATTTTTTTATTGATTCTAAGGCAAGGGTAAAAGTACCTTTATAATAAATTGCAGATTTCCAATGGTTCAAAGGAATCAGATCCTCAGGCCATCCCTAAATGAATGTGTGAGTAACTGTTAAAATAATTTTATGAAAGTGGTCTGTTTGAAGTTTCTGTCTACTCTAGATTGAAATTTGGTAATTTTTGTTGTTCAGAAAAATTCATGTCGCCTATCATGTCAAATTTATAGGTATGAAGTTGTTCAGTATCATTACATAATTCTGTTTTATACAGGTGTTCTAGTTTTATTCATAATACACTAATTTTTTATTGGCTTCACAGGGTTCATTTATTTCCATATAGAAAATAATACTTTCCTTTTCCTAAACCCAGCATTTACTTGTACCAATGAAGCACAGTATGTACTTTCCCATTGGTACTTTTAGGTTTTCCATGTTTAATTCATCCTTCATTTCCAATGTGTAAAATTTTCCCTTCTATTCCTAGGTTGAACGATTGTTCTGTGTAACTTCAATCTTGCTAAATAAATAAAAAAATTCAAGTTTATTGAAAAAACAAAGCAAAGCACAGTTGTCATAAAGGAAAAACGACACCAATGAGGTTATCGTAAGTTACAGATGTGAAAATATATTTTCAACATAAATGAGACAGATAAAAATCAGTGACATATAAAAAATACCTCAAATAGCAGTGGGTCCTCATTTAGCCCCTGCACCGTGCATGCGTGGAGCCCTCTTGGGAAAGGGGCAGATGTGGTCTCCTCTCTTCCTGTACTGAGCATGCGCATGGCCCTCAGGAGTCATTCATATGCTGAAATCTTAACCTCTAAGGAGATGATATGAGGAGGTGGGGCCGGTGTACGTGATTAAGTCAGAGGCAGAGTTCTCATGGAAGAAGAGTGCTCTTGCAAAACAGGCCTGGCAGAGCCCCTACCCTCTTCTGACAGGTGGGAGTGCACTGAAAACAATCCTTTTTTTACCAGAAAGTGGTTCCTCACTAGTCATGGAATCTGCATTCACCTTTATCTTGGACTTCTCAGCACCTATAACTGTTAAGGAGTAAATTTCTGCTGTTCATATGCTACTTGGTCTATGGTATTTGTGACAGCAGCCCAGATGGAATAAAACAGCCTCTGATTCAGGCAGCCAGTGTCTGATTATAATTGCTATGGATAAAACTAAGCAAAGGAAGAGGGTGAAGGCAGGGAGTGGGGGATGTTTTATTTTAACTGGAGTGATAAGTGACATCTTTGTGCTGGGAGGAACATGAAGGAAATGATACTTCAGAAGAATTCTAAATGTTCTTCTTCCTAGGCCCTGGAATGCATTTGTGAAAATTAAAAATCCTTTCCTGACTGAAAACCAAAATAACATTTAACATAAATGGCAACAGGGAGAAATTTTTAGCTCCATCACATGAGCAAAATCAACAACAAAAAAAATATTTATATACATATCAAACCCTACAAACCAGCAAGGATCCAGTATGAGCAAAACATGCCTTTATGGCACCATGAATGAGGGTCAGCAGAGACTACCATGGGAGGATTAGACCTCAAGTGCTTCATGAAATTGAACAATTTGATTACCTTATACAAGAAATTCCGATAAATCTGTTAAAGTCCTAAAAGACACTATTGGAACCATCAATGAATAAGACACTATGAAACACACCCATAATGGAGAACAGTATGGAGGTTCCTCAAACCTCACCCTATAGTAATGGACTGTGGAATATTAAAGACAACTGGAGACTTTATCACAGAGCAGGAAAGGCAGACCAAGTGAGACCCAACAGTAGACCAGTCACCAGTCACAATGAAGCAGGGAACACAAGGGAAAAACAGCTTCAGATGCCAAAGG